CATCTGTCATAATTGGAACCAAAAGTAGTTGTTGAATTTGGGCTTATTACATTATACTTCCATTTATCATATCTGTGGGGTACAATTATGTTACCTGCAGTAAGTATCCTGTCTATTCGGTGGTGATGCTCTTATATTCTCATCTGTTGCTTCTACTATAAGTGATATTTGTTCTGATTCCGCGTTTACTGCTTCAGCTATGTCCTGGTCTAAAGTTTTATAAATTGTGTTAATGGAGGTCGCATTTCTGGTACAAACATAAGAGCAACGAGGTGGTGATGGACCAACATATTCTCTTGCAGAAATAGAGAAAACTTGTTTAAACATAGTAATGTTTTTTCGAGAAAACGCAAAGGATTTGCGCTTCATTGCATTGAAAAGATGGGGATTACAGTCCTCCTAGGAGGTTAGTGCTACAAGGGTCAAGTTCCCCTTCAGTGGACGTCCCAGGATGTGGGCAGGACAATCCTGAGCCCCTGTGCCCCGGCTTGTGCCCAGCACTTGGCCTCGGCCTTAATCCAATCCACTAAAACTTCTAACGAGGGTCGCGCATTCTCAAAGACACATTCGTTTCGGTGCTTCCATATCATCCAAGGGATGAGCATGGTGATGGACTGCAGGCCTTTGCGCAATGTGTGGGGCGTCTGCCTTTTCGTTTTCTGCCACCAGTCCATGCGCGTCGGCTCGCTGTTCGGTGGCTGCGAAGGTATGCGTGTCCAGTCCAGGATGGCGTGCCAGATTTGCCTGGAGAATGGGCAGGCCAGGAGCAGGTGCTGGATAGTAATGTTGAAACATGTTTGTCCACAAATTAACTTCCCAATAATTGTTATCTTCAATCTTTGCTGGTTTCAGTTTAGATACATCTGTTAGTTCATTAATGGTTTGTTATTGTTCTGTAGAATCTCGAAGATGGCTCAAACAGCATTAGAATGAGCAGGATGAATTTAGTAGATCTTGCTGGATCTGAGCGGCAAAAGCTAACCCATGCAGCTGGGGATCGCCTAAAAGAAGCAGGAAATATAAACCGGTCACTTTCAGCACTTGGGTATGGTTTTATTTATTTTTAAGTAGCGAAGTTAAAGAATTTATGTCAGGTCTTCGCTAATTGCTTTCTCTAGGCATACGCTATGTTGGTGTATTTGTGAGACCTTTTTTCGCTAGACTCGGACCACTTAATGTATTTTAGCAGAGTAGATAGATATCATTAATCGCTGTACCAAAAGAATCGCCTTGTACATTTTGTCATGATATGTTAATAGGCGTGGAAGTACTTCGACAACATAGATAGGAGTGCAGACAACATAGAGAAGTACAGGATGGCGAAGAAGGCCGCAAAGCGAGCTGTTGGTGAAGCAAGGGGTCGGGCATATGAGGACCTCTACCAACGGTTAGGCATGAAGGAAGGTGAAAGGGACATCTATAAGATGGCCAAGATCCGAGAGAGGAAGACGAGGGACATTGGCCAAGTCAAATGCATCAAGGACGGAGCAGGCCAACTCTTGGTGAAGGACGAGGAGATTAAGCATAGATGGCGGGAGTACTTCGACAAGCTGTTCAATGGGGAGAATGAGAGTTCTACCATTGAACTAGACGACTCCTTTGATGAGACCAGCATGCGTTTTGTGCGGCGAATCCAGGAGTCTGAGGTGAAGGAGGCTTTAAAAAGGATGAAAGGAGGCAAGGCGATGGGCCCTGATTGTATCCCCATTGAGGTGTGGAAAGGTCTCGGGGACATAGCAATAGTATGGCTAACCAAGCTTTTCAACCTCATTTTTGGGGCAAACAAGATGCCAGAAGAATGGAGACGGAGTATATTAGTACCAATCTTCAAGAACAAGGGGGATGTTCAGAGTTGTATTAATTACCGTGGAATTAAGCTGATGAGCCATACAATGAAGCTATGGGAGAGAGTCATTGAGCACCGCTTAAGAAGAATGACAAGCGTGACCAAAAATCAGTTTGGTTTCATGCCTGGGAGGTCGACCATGGAAGCCATTTTCTTGGTACGACAACTTATGGAGAGATATAGGGAGCAAAAGAAGGACTTGCATATGGTGTTCATTGACTTGGAGAAGGCCTATGATAAGATACCGCGGAATGTCATGTGGTGGGCCTTGGAGAAACACAAAGTCCCAGCAAAGTACATTACCCTCATCAAGGACATGTACGATGATGTTGTGACAAGTGTTCGAACAAGTGATGTCGACACCGATGACTTCCCGATTAAGATAGGACTGCATCAAGGGTCAGCTTTGAGCCCTTATCTTTTTGCATTGGTGATGGATGAGGTCACAAGGGATATACAAGGAGATATCCCGTGGTGTATGCTCTTTGCGGATGATGTGGTGCTAGTTGACGATAGTCGGACAGGGGTAAATAGGAAGTTAGAGTTATGGAGACAAACCTTGGAATCGAAAGGGTTTAGGCTTAGTAGAACTAAAACCGAGTACATGATGTGCGGTTTCAGTACTACTAGGTGTGAGGAGGAGGAGGTTAGCCTTGATGGCCAGGTGGTACCTCGGAAGGACACCTTTCGGTATTTGGGGTCAATGTTGCAGGAGGATGGGGTATTGATGAAGATGTGAACCATCGAATCAAAGCCGGATGGATGAAGTGGCGCCAAGCTTCTGGCATTCTCTGTGACAAGAGAGTGCCACAAAAGCTAAAAGGCAAGTTCTACAGGACGGCGGTTCGACCCGCAATGTTGTATGGCGCGGAGTGTTGGCCGACTAAAAGGCGACATGTTCAACAATTAGGTGTGGCGGAGATGCGTATGTTGAGATGGATGTGTGGCCACACGAGGAAGGATCGAGTCCGGAATGATGATATACGAGATAGAGTTGGGGTAGCACCAATTGAGGAGAAGCTTGTCCAACATCGTCTGAGATGGTTTGGGCATATTCAGCGCAGGCCTCCAGAAGCTCCAGTGCATAGCGGACGGCTAAAGCGTGCGGAGAATGTCAAGAAAGGGCGGGGTAGACCGAATTTGACATGGGAGGAGTCCGTTAAGAGAGACCTGAAGGATTGGAGTATCACCAAAGAGCTAGCTATGGACAGGGGTGCGTGAAAGCTTGCTATCCATGTGCCAGAGCCATGAGTTGGTTGCGAGATCTTATGGGTTTCACCTCTAGCTTACCCCAACTTGTTTGGGACTAAAGGCTTTGTTGTTGTTTTTTTTTATGTTAATAGACATGGAATTAAAGTTCTGATCAATATGTTTTTCATCACTGCAGAAACTTGATTAATATACTAGCAGAAATTTCACAATCTGGAAAACAAAGACAGCATGTTCCGTATTGCAATTCAAAGTTGACATTTCTATTACAAGAATCCCTGGGTGGTAATGCAATGCTTGCAATGATTTGTACTGTTTCGCCGTCAGAAAGGTATTATCCAAGTTGAACCAAAAGTTATTTCCTTTTGCCCTCTTCTTCTGATGTTGTTTCATCACTATATTTTCTGTGTTTCTATGCAGCTGTAAGAGTGAAACCTTGAGCACTCTAAGGTTTGCCCAACGCGCCAAGGCTGTAAAAAACAGGGCAGTTGTCAATGAAGAAAAAGAGGACGATGTCAATATATGCACTGCATGTTCGGATGAAGCTTTTAAAGGTCCTATCTATTGCGTTGATATTGAAAACACAATTTCTCCATCATATTGTTTTACTCTTTGACTCAAGTTTGACCGCTAATATTTTGTTGCAGGATAACATTGTGGATGCTGCTGATTGGGCAGAGGCTGAGAGTAAATGGATGGCTCTGGCAGATGAGCTGAGGGCCGAGCTTGAAGCAAGCAAATCCCTTGTTGGGAGGTTGCGGTCGGAATTGGAGTCAGAGAAGAAATGCTCGAAGGAGGCACTGGAAGCAGCAATGCAGGCATATTCCAGAATCTTGGTACAATATGCTGAGCTTGAAGAAAAGTATATTCTTGATGGGGTCGAGGGCCAGCTGAAGGATACATCTGAAGGTCCTGGCGAATTGTTAGTCCGATTGAAGGAGGCTGAGGAGGCGACAAGAATTGCTGAGGTACGAATATCCTACATTCTCAGCAGATTGAACAGCATTTCGGTAGACAAAGCAGCAAGGTATTAAAGGTAGACACTATAACTTGTCTGTTGCATGCAGCACCGAGCCTTGTTGGCAGAGCAGAAGACCGACAGGCTGATCGAGGAAAACGTTGCGCTCACTCAACGGCTGACAGAGAAGTCGGAGCACAGAACGCTGGAGGTGACGAAGAGCACAGACCTCCTCTTGCGGTTCTCCGGTTACGGCAGAGGCAACATCTGAAGATCGATGCCGGCACCATGTAGTGCACCAGCTTAAAGAGGAAGAAATGGGTAGTGGCTACAGCTTGCAATAAGTTGATAATCCCACTCTGCTCTAGCAACTGCAGCACGCAGATAACAGGCTACAGTTTTCTTCTGCCTTGCCCTTGTCCTTGACTTAGTAGTTTACTGTTGGTTTTACTTTGGTACAGGAATATTAGCTAGGAGTATAGCCTCACTTCTGCTGTAGGTAAGTGTTGAAAATACAGGGGGCACACCTACTAGTTACTGCAATTTTTTGTACAGAGTTTGCACTTCTGCTATATTGTGATGACAAGTTAGATAAGCTTGCTGCTGTCAAGATGATAAGGACTTTGCGACTTGACTGAATGTTCTCTACTTGTGTGATTGCTATCATACTAGAAGAGCATCTACGGCACAAGTATACATTATGCTTTTCTGAGCAAGATTATTACTTTTGTTTTAAAGTCACTCTATGTGACACTGCCCCCAGCTATATGTTTGCTATGTCCATGCCACACGCAAGACTCCACAAGAAAAGCCAGAATTGCTGGTTAAACATTGGTTAATCTGCATATATGTAGGCATAGATTATATACATCATGTTTCTGTACATCATTCTATCATCTTGTATGTGTGTGTTGTTTGCATGAAAGGAAAAGGAGAAATAACTCTCTAATTTCCTGTCAAAAGAAGAAAACAAAAACTAAGAGCGCTTCACAAAAATGATTCCCGGATCACCCGTGCGAATACACGTGATGACAACCGGCTCAAGACATCTGGTAGGATCTTCGACGTGATGCTCGGCAACACGGGTAGAAGCTCTTGCACCAGAGACACGACATTTACGTCCTGCCATCGAAAAAAGAATGTGTATCAACATCAGTAACATTCCAGGTTAGCCTTTTGTGTTGCCTAGGAAAGAAAAGTGATAACAGTTTAGCAAGCATACCCCGTTGACTGTTGGATTTGCCGTCCCAGCCGAGAGAAACTTGACGACCTTCTCGACATTGTTCAAGATGATCCTGTCTTCCTCTGTGATTGTAGGAAGCAATGCTCCGGACCTCACAGGAACCATGCCAAAAACCGGGACGGGATTTCTGACCCCAAAAGATGAAGCAATTTGTAGCAGTTGCTCCCTTGAAACCGCATCGATGGCTTTCACAATCTGCGTCATACAGAAGAATAAAAGGGATCAATACAACATAAGCACTCGACTGAATGTTCTAAAGGTACATTTCCCCCATACAGTAAATCGCTCCACTAAGGGCAACGGGTATTCCTTAGATCTTTGTTAGCTCTTGTGACTTGAGAGCTCACCTCATCAAGAATGAACTCCCGGAAGAAGTCACCCCTGTCAGAGAGTAGAAAAGAGAGAGCAGCCCGAGCTTTGATTGGGTTCTCGGGTTGGGAAATGGCCATTGGGAATGCAGGAACTAAACTGGTGTTAGGTTGGAATCCTATAGCACCCAGCTCAGCCATGTTACCCTTCATGTCCTCCCCACCACCGCTCTTTGCTGCACTAATGAAATTCTCGAAAGCTTGCATAACGTCAATGAACCTCTCTGCGTCAAAGACACCTGTTTTGCCATATATTGTGTACCGCAAGGCACTCCTCAGTCTAGGTGATTCATCTGTTAGCAGCCTCTGTTACAGTCAACCGAGCAATGAATTAGTGACACAAAAACTCATATCAACATCACAAACAAACCAAATGTAAGAAGGAATTTTGTTTTTGAAAACTGAAGAAGGAATGTTGCAATAGCCATATGCATGTCTTGTGTCTTCTTTTCTTGGATATATTACTAAGAACATGGTCCTTGGAAAACATAGAGCATGTGGGGTTGGCATAAAAATGAATCAAAGGTTGAGAAGCTAACCTGTGCAATATATGGATATGCTTCATCCACAATGGCAAATTCAGGGTCTCCCACCAAAGCAATACCTTCTAGTACTCCAATTGCTCTAATAATCAAAGCAAAATACGGAGGTATCTTGAATGGGTAATCAAATGTTATCTGTGCTAGATCCGCTGCCAACTCTTGAAAGTTAATATTCTTTGCACCACCTCCTTCAAGTGCCTGATCAAAAACTTTAGCCAGTACAGGTAAGATTGGATCCAAGTTAACTCCCTCAGGGATAAAACCAAGCTTCACAAAGTCCTTCACGATTGCATCATAATCACGATGAATAAGGTGAGCTATTGCTTCAATCATTCCGTACTTCTGATCATCTGTCAGTTTTGTCACAAGCCCTGCAGCAAAGAAGGTCGAATTTATTATCTATTTTCTTGTGTTATGGGAGATTGAATTAAAATGTACAAAAAAATAGGTTGATAAAAATGGGAATAAAATTTATCATTAGCTGAAATTTAGTCAGCAGAATTAGTTTACTATCTTTTGCAATATTCTTTTTACCAAAAGGAATACAAACAGGCTGACATATGCAAATGAAAAGCTTTAATGGTTTGCACTTGTAATGCTTAGTCTACTGTATTGTGAGTACATGTCGAACGTACTGCTAGTAAGTTAGATCAAATTCTTAAGTCATTTGCATCACTGCACCACATAATGGGTAAATATTCATAATTGCGTTTACACTCCATGAGAAACATAGCAAAACTGTAGGGTTGTACATGAGATGCATAGATTGTCCATACTCTTGACTTACCAAAATCAAGAATACAAAGCTTTCCATCTGGTGTCCTAATCATGTTTCCAGGATGAGGGTCAGCATGGAAGAATCCAGTATCAAGCAACTGCAAGGAATAACATGATCAAAAACTTCTTTGAGAAAATGTTTTGACAGAATAAACATTTCTCCCCACCAGCAAGTGAGTGTGCAATAAACCAATTCAGAATGACATGAGTAAATGTACATCAAAAGAGAAGAAAAACAAACCTGTTTTAGATAGCATATAACACCAACATTAACCAAGGACCCAACATCATCCTCAGTACTTTGCGAAAGCTTCTCACCATCTACCCACCCTGTGGTAAGAACTTTTCTGGATGTATATTCAGGGTACGTCTTTGGTACAACAACCTGGAAGATTGTTGAATAAATTATAAGAAATTAACAGCCTGAAAGTGAAGCTACCAAGCATATCTGTAATAAATATTGAATGGGAAATTCCAAGTTTCCAACAGTACAAAAATGTATCATTCGGTAAAAGGGTATCATTGCACTGCTTCTACCAGACTACCAAAGCAATTTACCTGAGGAAGATCTTCTCTCATCATTTCAGCGAAGCGGGTGCCATTTTCCCCTTCGTTGACATAATCAAGTTCTTCAAAAAATCGGGCAGCCCACTCGTCTACTAGGCCAACAACATCAAGGGCAACCTGGCAGTATTCAGCAACTTCAGTGTGAGCTAATGAATAAGACAGTTTCTCCGTCATTTTTCACCAAGCAGAGGGAAACACTCACCTGTGGAAATCTCTTGAGAACCAATCCCAAATTTCTGATGATGAATAGATCTATGGTGACAGTCTCAAGTACGAATGGTCTTTGCACTTTCACAGCTACCAGTTCTCCAGTTTCTTTCAAACGGCCTTTGTATACCTGTCCCAGTGATGCTGCAGCACGATACACAACTAGTTCAGGATCAACTGATCAGGGCAGCAAGCGGATAATACCAAGATTTCTAGTATAATTACCTGCGGCGATTGGTGAGGGAGATAGTTCCGAGTATATGTCTTGCCATGGCCGGCCAAGCTCTTCTTCCAGGAGAGCCATTGCGATATCGTCAGGAAACGATGGAACCTTGCCGCAGCAGCGCATAACCCAGTTAGTAAACTTGAGCTACACTGGACTTTGAACAACTGCCTAAGCTCTGCGTGGTAACAAGGCCAATATAACTATGTAATAGCAGTGCTCACCTTGTCACATAGCTTCTGCAGCTCGGTCATCGCCGCAGGGGACAGAATATCGGGCCGGATGCTCAGCGCCTGGCCGAGCTTGATGTAAGCAGGGCCCAGAGACGTGACGATCTCCCTCAGCTCGATCGCGCGCGTCACTTCGTTCTGTCCAAAAGAGAAGGTTTCGTCGGTCAGCAGATGGGTTCACGGGTTCTGAAGAAAAATAACAGCATAGCTTTGGCATGAATGAATCCATCTCTACCTCCTTGATTTTGTCGGTGATGAGGTCTGATATGATGTGGGAGATGAAACCACCTGCCACAGACAAGAGCTGCACGGCTCGGGTGGCGACGGCGCCCGGGCGTTTGCCCCAGTAGGCCGAAATGATCTCGGGGCTGTACACGAGAGGCAGCCCCTCGGTGTTGGTCACCTAATAAAACCACACAAAGAAAGCAGAATTCAGACCACAGCCTAGTGCAGCAAGCGAGTGTAGAACGAAATTCAGACAGTAAAAAGAGCTGATTGAACAGTCAAATTCCATGGGCGTGATCGAACCATGCGGAATTGCGCGAATTGGGTACCACAGTGGAAGTAAGCAAAGTAAAGTAACGTCTTTGTCTGCGAACGGAATGGGTATGGAGGTGGGGGAAGGGACGTACCTCGACGAGGCGCATGGTGACGTCTTTGTCTGCGAACTGGTCGTCGCGGAGGTTCTGGCCGCGGAGGCCGCGCATGAGGGAGGCCAGCTGCTCGTCCTCCTCCATCTGCTTCCGCACCCGCTTGATCTCCTTGGACACGTCGCCGAACCTCTGCATAGCACATCCATGTCCATCCAGAGCAGAGAACTCAGTCAGTCAGTCAGCGAGACCATCGTCGTCGTCAGAGGTGATGGCTAACCAAGAAGCCGGAGCGGAGGGGGCTTACGGTGGACTGGATGGTGTTGGCCCTGGTCCTGCCGGTGCGCGGGGCCGGCGGCGGCCTGGGCTCGGTGGCGACGGCGAGCACGCGGCGGAGGCGGCGCTGCTGCTTCCCGGAGCGGCGCGGCAGCGGGGAGACGAGCCCGGCCACGACGCGGCCCCGGGCGAACCCCCCGCACTGCAGCAGGTGCGGCGCGGACGCCGACGCCGACGCCGACGCGGCGGCCTCCATGGTAAAAAGGAAGGAAGGGAGACCCCGAGACGTGGAGGAGGTAGGGAGCGAGTGGTAAGTAACCGAGGAGGTAGGGGAAAAAGTTGGGCCCGACCGCCGTGGTGGAAGAAAGAATAGGGCGGTGAGTCCAGTCGTGGCTCCTCCCTCCACTCTTTGTGCTGTGCCCGCGGAGGCGGACGGGTGGGCGGGGGCGCGTCCACGCGCGCGGCCGGCGCGTGTGGCTGCCCTGTCCCACGGCGAACGCATGGACGGACGGACGGGCGGCGCAAAGACTCGTGGCCCGCCCCGCCACTCGCCCCGGACGGAAAGGTAGCGCGCGCGATGTGTCTGCACCTGATTCGAGCGTGCAGGCAGACGCCCGGCCACAGCTCCCCGCGAGCTAGCTGCCAGCCCAAGTTCAGTCCACAACAGCAGAGGACGATGCTACTGCTCCACACACACAGAGAGGCTGCCAAAAATCCACGGCAACGTAGCTTTCCCATGAACAACTAGTCGCTTTTGTTTTGTCATACTACTGCCAGAATCTAACAACACAGCACCACACCACAAAGTGATTTGCCTTTTTTTTTCCTGTTACACTAGTTAAACTTCATTTCGTCTCCAGCACAGCAGCATGTGTTATACAGGGATGGCAGAAGATCGTGCGGCTGCTTCCGCTTTTCGACAGACGGACCAACATCGTTATTTGGGCGCCGCAGCAGCCCCCGGGGCAAGGCAGGAGAAGAAGAATACCAGTGCCCCCCATTTGTGTTCTGGATTGCTTCTTTCTAGTGCCCGTGTATGCTTCACGGTGTTTTCGCGCCGGGCATCATCCCGTCCTTCTCGATCGCCCGCTGCCTCGCACGCTCCATCTTCCGCTTGCGCCACTCCTCCAGAGCTGCACATGTTTTTTCACACAAGACGCCGTCAGAGTTCCACGGACTATATCAAGTCAGATATAAGAGCATTCAGCTGCTCACTTCATCTTAACAAATGCGGAAACGGACCATGTCTTGCAGATAATAGAGCAGTGCCGCGCAAGAATGCACATCTCGAAAAACATAATTTTATACTCTGCATAGAACAGCATGAACGTATGCCTAGTTTGCATCAATCATGCTTTCATGTGTTTCTTTGTTTGCCTTCGCAGCCGTTGGCAGACTAGAATGGGGTGCTGGAGCATACAGGATCAGCTTAGGATTAACCGGTATCCAAGCATTGGAAATAAATACTAATTACAATGTTTCACATTGCAAGCTAAGCTATGCCCTGTCGAGGTGTATTATCTGAAGATTCAGCTTGGTGGACAATCCTACTGTTCAACCAGTATTCTGTTGCATGGAGCATAATGTTATGCTATGGGCCACAGTAACGGCCAGCGAATGTAAACGGAGAAAATTCATTATTATGCTGCGGACCCAGTGCATCGGTAAACCAACAGCACAGTTTTTGAAACATGTGAGCTTGCAGGAAGCTGCTGAACCAACGCACAATAATATTGACATACTAAGGAACTCAAAAGGATGGGTAGAGACAGAAATACGATTACATTTCAAAGCATGGCAGCTTCCAGATTCAAACAATATAGATCAGAGCATTATTTCTACCCAATGTATAGCATTTCCCCTGGAAAGACAGTGAAGAGAGAGACTGAGATGGATCAAATAACCTCTTTGGCTGCTGCCATCATTCCCTTGCCGTAAATCTTTCAGCCTTTTTGATAAGTCAACAGCAGCCGTCCCTTCTTGCGTTGTTGACATGCCAGGCTCTCCATAAGCTTCTTGCTCAATTTCCTTCACCTATGTCATAATGTTGTAATCAATGAGAATTACCAACAGAGGTTATTTCTTCTTTTGGTTCAGCAATGAAGTGAATATTATTTCTTTCTTCATATCATAGGAACTGAAGGAACAAACTGTAGAAATGAAGAAACAAAGTGCACATTTACTTACTCTCATAATCAAATCCACAGGCTCCATGGCACGGCGCAACTCTTCGGACTCCCATATATACCGTAGCTGAGCTGCCAAAGAGTAGCACCCGGTATTTCCACTCAGTTGAGTTACCAATGAATAGTGAAGTACTACCTTGCAACTACATGATCTAATTTCTACTACAAAGGAAGCTATCACCCATGAATCATGATATGAATCTAGCATTTGTAGCTGCAGTGGAAGCAAGAGGATAAACCAGCTAACCCCATAAAAAGGGCCTCATCTTTCCTGGTGGTCGTGCTGACAATGAACATACCCACATTTCACGTTGCGCAGTGTTGATACAAATCCCATAAACTGTAATAATTACTAGGATTACTCAAGGGGAAATGCTCGCGATTCGGCTAGATTTACTGCGCCTGATGACCAAATGAACCTTGAATTTGGGGCCAAATCGAACGGATTCCTCGACCCTAGCGGTTCTAACGGGACAACGGCTTCCCTTGCGGTGTAAAACCAGCTGGGGGTCACTACTCCATACCTGAATCGAACCGGTGGCCGCCGGCGATCCGCGGCCAGGACGAGAAGTGGCTGCGGAGGAGGAGCGCCACCGCGAGGACGTTGATGGCGCACAGGGCTACGGTGGCGTTCCTGTAGGACAGCCTCGAGGCCGCCGTCATCCCGTCGACGGCGCCGGCGACGGTGGGGGCGGTGGCGCACAGCTCGCCGGAGATGAACCAAAAGAGGAGTAGGAAGCAGACGAGGCCTACCCCACCAACCGGGTTCGCTTTAGAGAGAGAATGCGGGTCACAGAACGGGCCGCGGCCCAGTAAACATCCAACGCGGCGGGGCCCATACGGCCCAGCTAAGTCGAGCTCACTTGGGCCAGCAACAACTAGATTCCAACCCGACCCACCCTACGTCTCTCTCACCGCACACACCACAGCTCCCGGCCTCCCCCTCCCCCTCCCCTCCTCCGGCTCCGACGACCACCACCGGGACGGCGAAGATGCAGGCGGCGGCGGCGGCGCGGCGCCACCTCCTCGACCAGCACCACCTCTCCCCGGCCGCCATCGCCGCCTTCAGATCCGCCGCCCAGCCGGCGCTCGCGCCCCAAGGTAACGCACGCGTCGGCCGAGATGCGCGCGGCCCGGGGAGGGATCTCCCCGGGGCCACCCGCCAGCCTCGCCCCCCGCGGCATGGGAGGGTGGATCTCACCGGTGGTTCGGTTTTGGATTGCAGGGTTGGGCGGGGCGGATGGCGCGAGGTACATGTCCGCGCGGGCGCCGGCGGTCAAGGGGGCCGGGCATCTCGTCCGCAAGGGCACCGGAGGGCGGTCCTCCGTGAGGTCAGAAAGCTTAACCGTCTCTCTTCTGACCCCTGATTGGATATGCTGAGTGGCCCTCCCGGTGGTTCCATTTCTGTGTTCGTTGGGTTAGGTTGATGTTGTGATCTCTTCATACAGCCATATATGTCTTCAGATGATGTAGCTCGCATATTGCATTTGCCAACACTTGTGTCTAATTGATAGGATCGATGCCATGCCTACTGTTCGTGTTGTGGTTACAAAACAGCTGAAATATTTAGTGATCAAGGCTTTCAAACAGCATTCATATGTTGCTCACTCACGGTCACGGACCTTTTTGAATTGGCGCCTCCTAACTTTTAATCCAGGCTCTACTCGCCTCCGAACTTTTAATCCAGACTCTACTGCTGCAACCCTGTTGTGACCTTTACACAGCTTGACCTGAAAATATGTGAAGTGTGTTTTTTAGCTTAGTTGAGCAAAATTTGTGTTTCTACGCTGTAGTGGTAAAGTGGTGACTACTACCTATGTGTGTAGGTATTAAAATTCAAAGGCATGGTGTTGAACAAGAATGCAATATATGAACCCTCGCAAATTTGTGTCAACTGTTGTTCGTTGTTCTTCCATAATACAACACCATTCATTTTCTCAGCCTGATATGTGGTAAACACGTGAAATTTGGCACCTGATATTGTAGTTTGCGGTGTGCACAGTGCCGATGTTTTCTGATTCCTCATAATCATTGCATCTTTGGGTCAAAATCAGATGATGCCTTAATTTGTTAGGGTAGCCTTATCCTGGCAGTGTTGCCCCAGTCTAACCCGAGAAACGATTGTGGCTTTTGTTGACAGTGGAATCGTCGCTACGGTGTTTGGAGCTACTGGATTTCTTGGACGCTATGTCGTTCAACAACTTGGTGAGATGATAAGACTTGTGCTATATCGAATTAGTTGTCACTTCAGGAGTAACTATGTAGAGGGTGGTCTAGGAGGATTACTCAAAAATGCTACTTTTATTCAGCAAAGATGGGATCTCAGGTTCTTGTCCCATTCAGAGGTTGCGAGGATTCTCACCGCCACCTGAAGTTAATGGGTGACTTGGGTCAGGTACAAGAATTGTTAACAAATAGTGTTAATCATTAACCCCATTTCATCTTTCCCTCTTATGTATTTCCATCTTTCTGGCAGATTGTTCCAATGAACTACAACCCAAGAGATGTGAATTCGATTAAGACTGCCGTGGCCAAGTCAAATGTGGTCATTAACCTCATTGGTATTTTTTCTTGAGACACATTATATTCATATTCATATCTCATTCTGCTTATATCGACTCAATTTCAACAGGACGGGAGTATGAAACAAGAAACTATGGGTTTGAAGAAGTAAACCATCAGATGGCTGAACAACTTGCGATGGTATGCCTTGTGTACACGTCCATTTTTCTTCCTGCTGCATGCTTGCTATCCAACTATGTAGACTATTGCTGCAAGGGCCATTGTGTATTAGGAGTAGTTCCCTTCCAACCGTAGGAACTAACTTGAGTTTTTGTCCTCCATACTCTGGCCCACATATCGTCAGCCTGAGATCTCATTCTTAGACAAGACAAGGCAACCCTTCTGCTGATTTGTTGCATATGAGTGCTACCTTTAGCTTGGCATAATGAGTCATAGCTGTTATTCCAAACTGTACATGTTCAGATTGACCTTGGCTTGGTTTCATCCAGCGTTGTTCCAGAGCACAAGATAGTCTAGCTTGCTACTCTGGCATAGTCTCGCAAAAGATATTATGTTAAATTATACTTTCTGTAACATGGGGTCTCACATTAATAATTCTATATAGCGACCAGCTACTAAGAAGTTCTGGATTTTACACAGATATCCAAGGAGCATGGGGGTATCGTGAGATTTATCCAGGTTTCTGCTTTAGGGGCATCAGCCTCTTCACCTTCTAAATTGCTGAGGGCGAAGGCTGCTGGAGAGGAATCTGTGTTGAAAGAATTTCCTGAAGTAATAATCTTTTCTCAACTTCCATATCTGTAGTTGGCAATGATAATTCTTGTTTCTGTACTACCTGAAGTTAGCAGTTGAATATTTTCCATTTATCTTTATCCATCAACAGGCTACAATTATGAGGCCTGCAACCCTTATTGGCACAGAAGATCGGATTTTGAACAGATGGGCAATGTATGCCAAAAATTGGGGTTTCCTTCCACTTTTTGGCGGCGGATCTACAAAGTAATGAGTTAGCATCTTCACTTCTATCATATTTCCTTGGCTTTAAAGTTGAGCCTAGAGTATGAAATGATGTGCTCCTATAGATATCTTAGATGCTTTCACCAGAAGCTGAATTACTTGATGCAACATTTTGCAGGTTTCAGCCTGTTTATGTTGTGGATGTTGCGGCTGCCATTGTCAACTCCCTCAAGGATGATGGCACCAGCATGGGAAAGACCTATGAGCTTGGTGGACCAGATATTTACACTGTTCATGACCTGGTAATTATCAAACACAACTGCTATGCAACAATAAATACTAAAATTGTATACCCCAAGGTGATGATCTTGTCGGGTGTTACAGGCTGAAATGATGTTTGAAACAATACGCGAATATCCAAGATACGTGAATCTTCCTTTCCCTATTGCAAAGGTATGTATATAAATAGCAGCGCTAGCAGGTTAAGACAACCTGAGGATGTGGTGGCCTACATATTGACTTCTTGTTTTGCAGGCTATGGCTTCTCCAAGGGAAATGCTGCTAAACAAAGTCCCTTTTCCTCTGCCGACTCCCTCCATTTTCAATCTTGATCAGATCAAGGCACTCACCGTAGACAACCTAGTGTCTGAGAATGGTAAGCATACCGCCCACGAGTAATACAATAGTCGGTCTTGTTCGTGGTTACTCTTGGCTTTGGCTCTGGCTCACATTGTTTCCTGAAACTCGGTGCAGCTCTCAGTTTCGCTGACCTGGAAATCAAGCCTCACAAGTTGAAGGGCTACCCTACCGAGTTCCTTGTCTGCTACAGGAAAGGTGGGCCATCTTTTGGATCTACCGTCAGCGAGAAGATGGGGAGTGCGGATGTGGCCCCCCGGTTCTGAAGACGCTGTAGAATTGATGATCATTTAGTTGAAAGATAAAATTGTTGTTGTGTTTTGTTTCCTTGTCATCTTGCTGCTGATGCCAGACGCCTCACCCCTGGTCAGGACCAGATTTGATGCGAACGCTGGCCCCTGCCCTTGTTTTAATTATCAATAAGAAAAGGCACGATGTAGTGTGAATTTTTGAGATGGAAATGCAAGTAAAGCGAATCATTTCAACGGTGACTGACACACTTGTGGAGATTTCAGAGTGTAAATCTCATCGCTCGTGTGGCTGAGCAATAAAAATTGTTTTGAATTGTTTGATGGTTCTGTTTGCCGCTGAATACTCTAGGATGCTTAGATGTTTTAATATAATGTAATGATTAGAAAAACAAATGAGTTTGCCCTCATATGTATGCATATACATGCTGTGTGTGCGTGTGTCACAGCCCTAGAATTTGATTGCAATTAGTATCATAAGCATCCATGCATCATGTCTATATTTGTTTGAAATTTGAAATGGGGATGACAAGCCCTGGCACTAAATGAAATGCAATTAGGATCAAAATAAAAATATTTTCAGTGAACCCAGAATGCCCTTTAGAAAAGTTCATTATTTTTTGATAAAGGTGAAAACCTCTGCCAAAAATGATGCAGATATTTTTAGGCCATTCTGGATTTTTGAATAACCCATATTGTATTTGAATTGGGGCATTTAAATACTATTAATATTTTTAAAATGCTCCAATAATTCTGAAAATAGTTAAGGGCCTCTGTAATGATTCATTTAATGCCCATAATTATTTTTAGGATTTATTAAAATGATTTGGGTTATAAACTAAATCAAAACAAAATAACATAAATAGAAAACAGAAACAAAATTAGAAAGAAGAGAGAGAGCTTACCTGGGCCAACTCACGTGTGCAGCCACCTGGCGGGCCAAGTGGCCGGCCCAGCCCACCTGGCCCTCCCCTGTCGTCTTCCTCCCCGCGCCAATAGACAGCGCGCGTGGCCGAGGCACGCCGGCACGCGCCCGGCCACCTCCTGCTTCCTGCCGCTTCCCCCTCATCGCCTGGACGTCTCCAACGCCGCCACGCACGCCCCTGGAACCCCCTCGCACTCTCCCTCGCTCTTCCCCCCTCCTTCGTTTCTCTTACGCGCAACCGCCGAGCGCAGCCGTCGCCGCCGACGTGCACCGCCGTGGCCACAGCCACTGCCTCGCTTCGCCGATGCGCTCAGAGGCTCCGCCTCGACCCCCTCTTCCTCCTCACCGAGCCACGCCCCGCGGGAGCCCCTACA